ATTGTTTGAAAGTGCATATTGCCAATTTGCCCGTGGTATCGATATTCAGGGCTTAATCAAAAAATTCTGTATTACTTGATAACGATACGTATACTTGCTTAGTATCTCAATATATACATATATATATTAAAGAGTTAAATTCTTATTTTCTTCAGGATCAAGTTTTTGGTACTGTTGTAAATTAAGGAATATAAGTGAAAATATAATCGTATACATTGTTATACTGTTGCATATAAGCAGTTTCAGGATATAAAGTTTTTACGATTAGTGTGCTTAGCGCCTATGCATGAAAGGTGATGCTTTGGTGTCAATTATTAGCCTCTTGGCATTGTGGTGTTGCTTTGTAGTGTTGAGTGCCAAACACCTCTTATAAGAGAGACCAAGGCACACATTCAAGGAATGAAACATTTAGGTCCTAGAACATTGCAAAAAGCATTGGCTTCAAGATGAGCTAAAAATGAAGCCAATAAAGTACCCCCAATATTCATGATGGTTAACAAACGTGCTCAGTTTTGAATTTTAACAAAAAGGGGTGGTCATTAAAGAGACTCCCTTTTGTCAAATATATGATAATGGCTTGACCCCAATCAACATATGACCATTGTAAGCTATAAGGACAACTACATTATCATCCAAAGTTGCAGCTTCTAAATAATCAAAATATGTTGGTGATAGGATCCTCCTCTTATCTTGAATCATCACTATCGCAGGGTCACCATTAGGACATGTAGCTCATTGGATAGCTTAATAAGAACACCAACTTTATCATTAAGGGAACAATATATATTGTCACACTAAGAATGTTCTCTAGCAATCCCATCACTCTTTTATGATAAAAAAAATGATCAGATTTGAGAATGGTCCCATTACCTAGACAATTACATGTTGGGAATCCACACACACCTTGTTTTTTTTATATTTATCTCAATGAAAACTTCCAATCGTAGAGTTAAAATTTTATATTCTATCTCGTTGTCATTGAGGAGATACAAATATCAAATCAATCATAATTTTTATCTTTGGGAGGTGTCCAGATGGGCCTTCTTTTAAGGGAGATGCTCTATCAAAGTAAAACTCCCATTAGAAGAAATTGATGACTAACATATGTTAACCAGGGAAATCATCATCAAGTGACAAATGAATCGGGAGTGGGTGAGCTGCCAGAAAGTTAGCTAGAGCCTCTCCCTTGTTGGCTCATTAAGGAACATATAAAATATTAAATTGTAATATAATGACAACATGTTTAGCTAGACTCCTAACCAAAGTGGGTTGATTCATCAAATATTATTAGGGGTTTACACTTGAAATCAAGTGTTTATGGTGAAAGAGCATTTAATATCTCAATTTCTAAATTAAAAATATCAGCACCAAACAATATTTCTTAAATTAAAGACAATTCATTTTTGTTGGAATGAAACACCGACTAAAATAGTACAAAGTCTTTTCTTTCTCATTCTCATTAGTCTAAGATAACATGTCTCCTACCTAATCATCAACGATAACAAGATATAAAATGTCATGTTTCTCTAAGATTGAAGCTACTAATATTGTTGGGTTCAATATATAGGACTTGGTATCATCAAAAGAATCTTGATATATTTATCCCAATGGAAATAAATATCTTTTCTAGCCAATGCAACAAAGGTTGATATCAACTAGAGGTTGGAAATGAATCTTCTAATGAATGTTAGTTTCCTTTGAAGGGTACATATCTGTGTGAAACTTTTAGGAGATTCCATATCTATGATGGCCTTGTTCTTACTATGATCAATCTCAATGCTTCTATGACAGACAATAAATACCAGAAATTTCCCTAAAGATATGTCAAATGCACACTTCAAATGTTCATTTTCATATCATAATTCCTAAGGCATTAAAAAACAACTCTTACGACTGAAATATGATCTTCTTTTATATAAATCTCAACCACCAAATCATCAATAAAACATTCAATTTGGTGATGTAATGTCATTGAAGTATTGTGCCATAACAGGTTGATAGGTTGTCCTGACATTTAATGAACCAAAAGACATGGCCTTATAACAAAAGATACCAATAGGGATATAAAGTGTCATTTTCTATTGTTCTTCTGGGCCATCTAGATTTAGTTATAACGGGTAAGTCATCCATGAAAGACATCATTGCAATAGAAGAGGAAATATCTATCATGAGCTCTGGTATGGGCAGAGAAAAATTATCTTTCAGGTAAGCCTTATTCAGGTCTCGAAATTCTATGCAAACTCGTATTTGCCAATTGTTTCTTTAAACAAGCATGATGTTTACTAGCCATGTAGGATATGACACTTCCCTAATGAAGCCAGCATCAATAAGCTTTTTGTTCTCTTCGATAACGATTTGCTCTATGTCGAACCACATTATCTGAGGAAATTTCTTCTCAAGAACATAACTCAATTCTATAGCTAAATTATAAGCAACTCTCTCTAGAGCTAAGCTAGGCATCTCGACATAACTCCATGCAAGACATTTACAAATTTTCTTCATGACTTCTATGATTTTACTAGCCATAAATTTGATAGAAGTTTGCTTATATAGATACGATGAGGATCATCATTAGTACCAAAATTAATTTTGATCAACTCATCTATAATCGAGGAAACACCATCCTCCAATTCAAGAGGAGCGTGCCTGATTTTACTTTCCTCATCATTATAGGCAAGATCATCATCACATTCAAATTTAAAAATCATTCTACATCAAGAGGATGAAGAGATGGAAACTTTGCTTCATCTAACCCCTTTTTACATATCATAAACCAAACTTCTAGTTAAAGTCTCAGTTCTACCACATAGACTTACACATTTTTTCTTTGAGAACAAACTATATTTCAGGTAACAAACCAATATCCAAAAGTTATTAATAAGAGGAGAAAAATAAAAAGGATGAGGTATATCTTCCATTTATTTTACTATCATCACTCAAAATCAATATATTAGAGTTAGTTATATATGTATCAACTTTATAAAAAAAATTTCATTATCTCTAGATTTAAATCTAGGAGGTAAATAGAAAGTGTGCAGCTAATTAATTGTTGATACACTTGTAGCAGTCATATGTCAAAAACAAATTAGAAAAACAAGAGACTATGAACATTGGTAGCACATCTTCAGGCAAGAGCTTCAAGGATGTCTCTTCACAAGAATCTTCTTGATCGTAGACTTATTTTGAACCATCATGGCCATGCAAACTCTTGATGTTATCCACTTATAAGACCTCATCTGATTCACAGTCACTATCTGATCCAATTTCTATCTTTATTTAAGAAGATGACATAATAGACAAAACCCAATCATACCTTGGTATCATTGGAACACAACTCATTCCCTCTTAGCATACTCTCTTTACTTTTTGCCAGGAAAGAACCAATAAAGCAAGGAGCTCATGAATTTCATATGATATTCAAGGTTTATAGAGGTGCCTTTTTAGTAAGAACATAACATTTGATGCCATCATAAATGGTCACCTCATTAACGGAGAATACTTGAATATCACTTAAAATGGGAAACTCTTTTCATCCACACATATATTCAATATATTTTGTTGTAAGGTTGAAAGTACCATCTCATACTCATGTATCCAAGGGCGTTCGAGCAAGGCTTTAAAGAATGTATTGCCATCAATAATATGAAATTTTGATTCACCCTTAAACACATGTCACCAATAGATTTTCTAGATGCACCATATTAATCTTTCAAGCTAGTTACTATTTTATACAAATGTATTAGACTGTTTAGTTTTCAACCAAAGCTAATTATTATTATTATTTAAATGTAGAGTTATATTAATGATAAATCTTAATGCTTATTGTAATTTAATTAAAAAAATATATTTTTATATATAATATTAATTTCAGGTTTACTACTTTTTATTCATTGTAACACAAAATTATTTTACATAACATTAACTTATGGAGTTATCTCAAAAGTTTTAACTTTAAGAACTTGTGCAGATTAAACCAAATATATTGATAAAAGAACAACTTCGATCTAATGGCTATTTATGTATAACTATGTACAATCATATCATACAAGCACCTCATCCTTGCAAAGGCGTCCCGCAGTCATTTCATAATACACAAATGTTATGCATATATGATCATTATAAGTGATGTGTCACCAAAAAAGTTTCATCATCAGGCACAATTTTTTATGCATTTTTAGCAAGGAATATTCCAAATTCAAATTCAATGTTATACAAGCCTTGTTTTCAACAAATTAATTCTTAAACAAAGCATCTTGACAATACAAACCTAATGACGTCGAAAATGATCATATTTGAGTCCAAATGCACCCAGATCTAAAACTTGAAGTGTAAAAGGCTTTGATGCATCAATTAGATGACTAAATGATCTCAAAATTTAGCATGCATATAATCAAATCGAGTTGCTCCATGAGAGAAAACTAATGCATCCAAGATCAGTCAATTATGAGGTAATTAAGACACTTAAATGTTAAAAAAATGATCTATGATCAAGGAAATAAATATGGACTATTTGTTAAGCATTACTCTTTTATTCGAAAATTAAAAAATATATTGGTGTAGAATTATCAAGTGGCTGGCTCCCACACAAAATCATAAATATTTGGGACAAAAATGATTTTGACTATTAGTGCATTTGGTCCAATTTCAAACACCCTTTGACTATTCTCTACCTGACATATCACCCCATATTCATTTATATAAATGCGAACCAAATAGAACAAATCACATAATTCAATAAAATATGCGAAATTAAAGAAAATTTCAAAACAATTTTCTTTTACCTCTGAATATGGTTCACTAACATTTCTTTCATTTGTTTAGGCTGTTCAAGGAAGAATAAAAAATATATCTAGTATGTTCATTTCTAATACATTTAGTTCTTCCATAGTGACAAAACAACACCTTGTAAACAAATGAAATCATTTAAATCAGTCTAGAGGCAAGTTTACACTGCTCTGCATACTAGCCATACTTTAAACAAACAAATTAAACTTGTGCGGTGAACACATCTTGTTGATACAATCAGAATGACATCAATTGCAAGATATCATGAAGCATGAGAAGTTTTGGTAGCTCAGGATGCCTCAAACCAAGAGAGTAGTAGCATTCACATCGTTGGAAAAAGCGCTATTTGGATTTTAAGAAATACAGAGTTATTTGGATTTTTAAAAAAATATGAGCAAGCAATTACCATATTAAAAGCTATGTTTTCGGTGTATCTGCTGGCTTTGGTGGATTGCTACAGAATGAACATAATGGCTTTAAGGAAATGAAAAAATACGCTTGATGGCAATAAGTCAAACATCGGATTATTTCCATGATACCTTTTATGTGGTTCCAATGATTTATCCTTGCCGACCATGCATTTAGCTCTTCGGGCATATCGTTTTAATATGCAGTTGATGTTTCAAAGTGAATTGCTTCTTATGATGGTAGGAAAAATCCCGTAATTCGATGCATGAACCATACAATGTGGATGTAGGAAAAAGAGATAAATGCCATGAATTCACAACGAGTAAACTGCTAACGGCACCTTTTCTTCAGAATTTGGGATAGTCAACCAACCTTCTAAAACAAGAATGCACAAAAAATAAATCTTGATATCTGCACCTTTTCTTCAGAATTTGGGATAGTCAACCAACTTTCTAAAACAAGAATGCACAAAAATAAAATCTTGATATCTCTACTTGCCCCAAAAACGCAAAGATTGAATAAACTTTCCTCACCAGTAATCCCCACATGTGCATTTACCATTGGTGAAGTGATGGAACCTTGTATTATCTCTCAAGATAATTTCCCTCTGTTCAATAATGGAAATGTACTTGATGGCATGGTGACAGTCTCCACAAACTCTAAGATTTTTGAATATTCTAAGAGGAGTTCCTGGTGTAGTGCTGATGAGCGCAAAAGCAATAGCAAGCTTCTCACCATGCTTCATAAGTATCATCTCCCTCTGCTCATCACCAACGTCATGTAAAGCAAACTCAAGATCAGGCACATATCCAGCATCCTTGATTCGTGTCCACAACTCATTTAACTTCTCATGTATCATCTCCAAATGGGGATGAAGTCTATCCCCAGATCTAAACTCATGAACAGCTCCCCCAACCTCAATCCAACTGTACCCGGGCATCTTCACAGCTTGATTCTCCTTCATCCTTTTCCTCACCTTTGCAACATCATCCCATCTATTCATGGAAGCATAAACATTGGCAAGCTGGACATAAGCCCCAGCATTTTGAGGCTCCAATTCAACCAGCCTCCTTGCAGCAAATTCTGCAAATAATGAGTTCTTGTGGATCCTAGAAGAATTCAATAGAGTGCCAAATGTAGCTGGGTGTGGCTCAAATGGCATCGAATGGATCAAGTGCACTGCTTTCTTGAGCAAGCCAGCTCGACAAAGGAGATTAACCATGCAAGTGTAGTGATCAGCAGAAGGCCTCACACCATAATCTTCTTCCATTGATTCAAAGTACCTCATCCCAATATCAACCAACCCTGAATGAATGCAGGCTAACAACAAAGTGACAAATGTGATCCTGTTAGGCTTCAAAGCTCCATCTTTCATCCTCCCAAACAATTGTATCGCTCTTTCTCCATGCCCATGCTGAGCATATCCAGAGATCATCGCGTTCCATGTAATAATATCCTTAACAGGCATGTCTTCGAATAACTTGCAAGCACTAGCCAAATCTCCGCACTTGCAATACATGCTCAATAACGACGTACCAACACATTGAATCATGCTTATGGGAAGCTTTGAAACCCACTGATGGATCTGCCTCCCCGACTCTAAAGCTGACAAATTGCTGCAAGCAAGCAGCGAGCTGCTCAGCGTGGACGGGTTCGGGTGCACCTCTTGGGCAGCAATCATTCTTCTAAATAGCTTTAGCCCTTCCTCGTACTGGCCGTTGTCAACAAGCCCAGCAATCATCGCATTCCAAGTAACCGAATTCCTCGCATGCATGGTATAAAAATACTCCCATGCACGCTCAATCTTTCCAACAGACATGAACCCAGCAATCATGGACGTCCGGAGGACAATATCATTCTTATTCGGCGCCTGAGAAAAGTACTCCCCTGCTGAATACAGATCTCCAGCTTGAATAAAAGCGGAGACAATGGCGTTCCACGAAACAGAATTCTTTTCTGGCATGAAGAGAAAATGTTCTCGTGCTTCATCGATGAGGCCATGGCGTGCAAGGCCGGAGACCATGATGTTCCAGGACGTGACATCTTTGACGACCATGGAGGAGAAAAGTTGGCGCGCACCGAGGAGGTCGGAATTGATGAGATGGCAGGAGAGAAGGGTGTTGAAAGAGATGACATCTGGCTGCGGAATTTTATCGAAGAGGTTGAGGGCATCTTTGAGTTTTCCAGGAGACTTGGAGAAGGCGGCCAGGAGAGAGTTCCAGGAAACGATGGTGGGTGAGGGAATGTAGTTGAATACTCTCAGGGCTGAAATAACATCTCCATTTTGGGCGTGGAAGGCGATTGCGCGGTTGCGGTAGAGCACAGCGGCGGCGGCGGAAGCGGCCACCGTAGCGAAGGTCGCGCTGCGGCGTGAAAGTTGTATGCTGAAGGCACTACAGGCGAGATGCATAAAAGTTCACGGCCGGAGTGGCATAGACTCCGGCTAGGGCTCA